CCAGAAGGAAAGGAAACTGAGGTAGACATGGAAAAAGTATTTCAAGAAATAATGACAGAAAACTTTCCTGAAATAGAGAAGAAAAAACCCACACAAATCCAAGATGCTCGCAGAGTCCCAAGCAAAATGAATCCCAGAAAACAGACTCCAAGGCATATTATAATTAAATTGGCAAACAACAACGACAAAGTAAGAATCTTAAAAGCAGCCAGAGAGAGACAGAAAGTTACATACAAAGGAACCCCCATCAGACTAGCAACTGATTTCTCAACGGAAACTTATCAGGCCAGAAGGGAATGGGATGAAATATACAAAGTCATGCAAAGAAAGGGTCTGAATCCAAGAATACTGTACCCAGCAAGGCTATCAATCAAAATTGAAGGGGAAATCAGGAGCTTCACAGACAAAAAAAGACTGAAGGAATTTATCTCCACCAAACCAGCAATGCAAGAAATGCTAAGGGGTCTACTGTAAAAATAAAGAAATATTAAGTGAAGAAGGAACACAGGGGTATAGATTAAAAATGGCATCAAATGAGTACCTATCATTAATAACTTTAAATGTAAATGGTTTAAATGCTCCAATAAAAAGACATAGGGTAACAGATTGGATAAGAAAACAAGACCCATACATCTGTTGTCTACAAGAAACCCACCTCAGAAAAAAAGATGCACACAGACTGAGGGTGAAGGGATGGAAAAAAGTTTTCCAGGCAAATGGAAATGAAAAAAAAGCTGGGGTAGCAATACTTATATCTGACAAATTAGATCTCAGATTGAAGGACATAATAAGAGATAATGAAGGCCACTTCATAATTCTAAAGGGAACAATCCAACAAGAAGAAATTACCCTGGTAAATATATATGCACCCAATACAGGAGCAACCAAATACATAAAAAAACTGCTGGAGGACATTAAGGGAGAGATTCATAGCAATACAATCATAGTAGGAGATTTTAATACCCCTCTGTCACCCTTTGACAAATCATCTAAACAAAAAATCAGCAAAGAAATATCAATCCTAAATGACTCACTAGACCAGATGGAATTAATTGACATCTTCAGAACACTCCACCCCAAAGCCGCAGAATATACATTCTTCTCAAGTGCACATGGGACATTCTCAAAGATAGACCACATTTTGGGACATAGGCAAAGTCTCTTCAAATTTAAGAAGATAGAAATCGTATCAAGTATCTTCTCAGACCATAATGGCATAAAACTGGAAATTAACTACAATAAAAATAATCCAAAGAAATCAAACACATGGAGATTAAACAGCATGCTATTAAACAAGGACTGGGTTACCAGAGAAATCAAGGAAGAAATTAAAAACATCCTGGCAACAAATGACAATGAAAACACAACAATCCAAAATCTATGGGACACAGCAAAAGCAGTTTTGAGAGGGAAGTTCATATCCTTACAAGCCTATTGCAAAAAACTAGAAAAAAGGGTAACAGATGATCTAACTCTACAACTCAAAGAATTAGAAAAGGAGCAACAAGAAAAGCCCAGTGTAAGCAGAAGGAAGGAAATAACAAAAATCAGAGCACAGATAAACGACATAGAGACCAAAAAAACAATACATAAGATCAACAAAACCAAGAGCTGGTTTTTTGAAAGAATAAACAAGATAGATGAACCTCTAGCCAGGCTAACCAAGAAACAAAGAGAGAGGACCCAAATAAACAAAATCAGAAATGAAAGAGGTGAAATAACAACAGACCCCACCGAAATACAACAGATTGTTACAAAATACTACGAACAACTCTATTCCAACAAACTGAACAACCTGGACGAAATGGACATATTCCTAGAAAAATACAACCTTCCAAAACTCAATCAGGAAGAATCTAAAAATCTTAATAGACCAGTGACGTGGGAAGAAATTGAAACAGTCATCAAAAAGCTTCCAGCAAACAAAAGCCCAGGGCCTGATGGCTTCACAGGAGAGTTTTACCAAACATTCAAGGAAGAACTAAAACCTTTCCTCCTCAGACTATTCCAAAAAATCCAAGAGGAAGGAACACTTCCAAACTCCTTCTATGAAGCCAGCATCACCCTAATACCAAAACCAGATAAAGACAACTCAATGAAAGAGAATTACAGGCCAATATCCCTCATGAACATAGATGCCAAAATCCTCAACAAAATTCTAGCAAATAGACTCCAGATGAACATCACAAAGATCATACACCATGACCAAGTAGGATTTATTCCAGGAATGCAAGGATGGTACAATATCCGCAAATCAATAAACGTGATACATCACATAAACAAACTGAAAGATAAAAATCATATAGTCATATCAATTGATGCAGAAAAAGCATTTGATAAAATCCAACACCCTTTCCTGATAAAAACTCTTAACAAGGTGGGAGTACAAGGATCATACCTCAACATAATAAAAGCTATATATGATAAACCCACAGCCAACATTATACTCAATGGGCAAAAACTAAAACCATTCCCTCTAAGAACAGGAACAAGACAGGGATGCCCACTCTCGCCACTCCTGTTTGACATAGTACTGGAAGTACTAGCCATTGCAATTAGACAAGAGGAGGAAATAAAAGGCATCCAAATTGGAAAAGAAGAAGTAAAGTTATCCTTATTTGCAGATGACATGATACTGTACATAAAAAACCCAAAAGACTCCATTAAAAAACTAATTGACTTAATAAATGAATTTGGCAATGTAGCAGGATACAAAATTAATGCCAAGAAATCCACGGCATTTCTATACACCAACAGCGAAACTATAGAAATAGAGATTAAAAAAGCAATTCCATTTACCATCGCACCAAAAAAATTAAGGTACCTAGGAATAAATTTAACTAAGGAAGTAAAGGACCTATATGCAGAAAACTACATGACACTGAAAAAAGAGATAGAGGAAGATGTAAAGAGATGGAAGAATATACCATGTTCATGGATCGGTAGAATCAACATCATCAAAATGTCCATACTTCCTAAAGCAATCTATAGGTTCAATGCACTCCCCATTAAAATACCAACGGCATATTTCACCGACCTAGAAAGAACTCTCCAAAAGTTCATTTGGAACAATAAAAGACCCCGAATAGCCACAGCAATCCTGAGAAAGAAGGGTAAAGTAGGAGGGATCTCAATACCAGACTTCAAACTGTATTACAAAGCCACTGTTCTCAAAACAGCCTGGTACTGGCACAAGAACAGACATATAGATCAATGGAATAGAATCGAGAACCCAGATATCAACCCAAATCACTATGCTCAATTAATATTTGACAAAGGAGGCACGAATATACAATGGAGTCAAGACAGTTTCTTCAATAAATGGTGTTGGGAAAATTGGGTAGACACATGCAAAAGAATGAAACTAGATCACCAACTTACACCATACACAAAAATAAACTCAAAATGGATACAGGACTTAAACATCAGACGGGAAACCATAAAAATACTAGAAGCATCCGCAGGCAGCAAAATCTCAGACGTATGCCAAAAGAACTTCTTCACTGATACTGCCCCTAGGGCAATGGAAGCTAAAGAGAAAATAAACAAATGGGACTACATCAAAATAAAAAGTTTTTTTACAGCAAAAGAAACCATCAACAAAACAACAAGAAAGCCCACGGTATGGGAGAATACATTTGCAAATAATACCACGGATAAAGGTTTAATCTCCAACATCTACAGACAGCTGATACAACTAAATAAAAGGAAGATGAATGATCCAATTAAAAAATGGGCAATGGACCTAAATAGAATATTTACAAAAGAAGACAGAAAGAAGGCCAAAAGGCACATGAAAACATGCTCAAAGTCACTAATTATCCGAGAGATGCAAATCAAAACAACAATGCGGTACCATCTCACACCTGTCAGAATGGCCAACATCAACAAATCAACTAACGACAAGTGTTGGCGAGGTTGCGGAGAAAAAGGAACCCTCGTGCACTGCTGGTGGGAATGCAGACTGGTGCAACCACTGTGGAGAACAGTGTGGAGTTTCCTCAAAAAACTGAGAATGGAACTCCCATTTGACCCAGTAATCCCACTTCTTGGAATATATCCCAAGAAACTAGAAACACCAATCAGAAAGGATATATGCACCCCTATGTTCATAGCAGCACAATCTACAATAGCCAGAATCTGGAAACAGCCGAGGTGCCCGTCAGCTGATGATTGGATCCAAAAACTTTGGTACATCTACACAATGGAATACTATGCTGCCATAAAAAAGAAGGAATTCTCATCATTTGCAGCAACCTGGATGGAATTGGAGAACATCATGCTGAGTGAAATAAGCCAATCAATGAAAGAGAAACACCACATGACCCCACTCATTTGTGGATAATAAAGATCATTATAAACTGATGAACCAAAAGATAGATATAGAGACAGTAAAGCAACAAGCAGATTGTCAAATTACAACGGGGAGGGGAGGAGGGTCTGGGGGAGACAATAAATCAACCCAAGGACTTGTATACCTGCATATAAGTACAACCAATGGACATAAAACTCTGGGGAGGGAGGGGATACATGGGAGGGAAGGAGGGGGGCAAAAAAAAAAAAAATCAATAAAATATGTAAAATAAAAAAAATAAATAAATAAATAAATTAAAAAAAAAAAAAATAGATTGATCGATTGATTTTGAGAGAGAAACAAAAAAAAAAAAAAAAAAAAAAAAAAAAAAAAAAAAAAAAAAAAAAAAAAAAACAAAGTGGATGGCCCTTGAAGGACCAGCGCTACAGGTGACATAGAAGAGAAGCCACTGGAAAGGAACATAAACTACCCCACAGCATCTCTGAGAGGGAATAGCACCTTGCCCACATCTGCTTTCTAGTTCCTTATATAATTGGCGTCTTGGGCTCAGACGCCCCATTTGTGTCAAAAGGCCACGAAGGAAGGAGATGTAACCACATCGCAAGGCATTTATTTAACATGACATGCCCCGGATTTTTTTTTTTTTTTTAAACCCCTGAACATAGACTTGGAAAGAATCCATTACCTTGAGCATGCGGATTTCTCGGAGGGCGATTTTCTTGATGACAGGGTCATCTTCTGATTCCAGAAACCTCTTGATGGCCACCACCTGGCCCGTGTCCCTGTTTCTGCATTTGAAAACAACGCCGTAGGATCCTTCGCCAATTTTCCCGATTTTTTCATACCTCTCCATCACGGGGGAATAGATCTCCGCGGAGGGGATCTTCACATAGTCTGACAGTGTCGCTGGGCACACGCTGCTCGGGCGGGCGGGACCTGGGGCGGAGGAGGCACCTGCTCAGGGGCGAGGAGCGGCCGGGGGAAGCCTCGCCCCTCGGCGATGGCCACGCAGCCGGATGACAGCCCGGAGCCCGGGAGCTAACCCACCTGCACCGCCTGTGACACGTGCCTGCGAGTTCAACTGTAACCCGCCATCCTAAGGCGAGCCGACTTGCAAGAGAATCTACCTTTTCCGTGTTACAGGTCATCCGATCTCGGACACAGGAGCTGCCAAGGGCTTCCCCGGCTCTAATTTCGAGTCTGATTTCCCCGCAGCAAGAAGACGCCGCCCGGCTCCGGGGGAGGCGGGTCTGGAGCTCAGGGACCGCGGGCCACGCCGACCCGCCGCGCGGGCCCCCTCTCGGCCCGCGGCCCCGGGAGGATGCTCTGCCCGCGCCCCCCGCCCCCCGCGCCCCGCGCCCGAGCGGCGCCACGTGGCGGCCAGGCCCGCCCGCCCGCCCGGCCGCCCGCCCGGCCGCCCCTCCTGCCGCCCCGGACTCACCCGCTGGCCGCCGGCCGGCCCCGCTCCCACCTGCCGCCCGGGATCCCTATGGGAACGGCCGCCCCCGCTGGCCTGGGCGGGCCGCCGCGGTCCGGGCGGCGGAGAAGGGCCCGGGTGGGAGGTCCTCGGGCCCCTGAGGAGCGGTCCCCGCCGCGGGCCTGGCCGGCACCTCGTCCCTCTGCGGACAGGAGGCTGCGGGATGCAGGCTCCGACCGGAGGGAAAACGCCACCGGAGCGGAGGCTGCGGGAAGACGCCTGCGCCAGAGCCCTCCCCCCCCCAACCCTCTCTATTCCCATCCCCACCCCCATCCCCACCCCCTTCCTCACTCCCATCCCCACCTCCATCCTCACCCCCATCCCCACCCCATCCCCACCCCCTTCCTCACTCCCATCCCCACCTCCATCCTCACCCCCATCCCCACCCCCATCCCCACCCCCTTCCTCACTCCCATCCCCACCTCCATCCCCACCCCCATCCCCACCCCCATCCCCACCCCCTTCCTCACTCCCATCCCCACCTCCATCCTCACCCCCATCCCCACCCCCATCCCCACCCCCTTCCTCACTCCCATCCCCACCTCCATCCCCACCCCCATCCCCACCCCCATCCCCACCCCCTTCCTCACTCCCATCCCCACCTCCATCCTCACCCCCATCCCCACCCCCATCCCCACCCCCTTCCTTACTCCCATCCCCACCCCCATCCTCACCCCCATCCCCACCCCCATCCCCACCCCCTTCCTCACTCCCATCCCCACCTCCAATCTCACCCCCATCCCCACCCCCATCCCCACCCCCATCCCCACCCCCATCCCCACCCTCATCCCCACCCCCATCCCCACTCCCATCCCCACCCCCTGCCCCTCTTCATGCACCAAGGGCACAGCGGTCACCACGCCAAGTAACGGCTGATTACTTACTCTCCAGTGTTTTCTGCTAAACTGTGAACGCCTTGAGGGGAGCTTCTGTGCGGGTCCTGATCAGTGGCATAGCATCCAGTCATTGCATGAATGAATGGGAAACAGGGAGAGAAAGGCAAAGATGAAGAGGGAGGTGTGGCCGGAATTGGTGGAGGTGGGCACTTCACTCCATTGGCTTGGAGGGGAAGGTGCTCCTTGGCTGTTGACTTCCACGACAGCCAGGCTTCTGATGTGGGGGTGGAGGTTACAGAGCCTGCCTCCATTTAGGTTCCTTATTCCCAATGGGCCCTGCTGCTCCGGTTTAAGCACAGAGGGGGGAAATAGTAAACCTGGGGAAGGCATGAAATAATCTGCCACGGGCACACTGCCTCAATACTTGATCATCTATCCTATTGCCTGGAGGTAAAACCGAGGAGAGAGAGTGAACATACTGTCTACAAAACAGAGGCCAGTCCCCTGCCAAGCAGCATGCCACTACATGGAAATCAGCACAGGGGTCAGTAGGAGCAGGAGCTGGGAGGAGAGAGGGGGTGGTGGCTGCCTTGACAATGCAGTAGCATCTAGACCAGTGGTTCTCAATCTTCCAATGCCAGGACCCTTTAACACAGCTCCTCATGTTGTGGTGACCCCCAACCATAAGATTATTTTCGTTGCTACTTCAGAACTGTAATTTTGTTACTGTTATGAATCGTAATGTTAATATCAGTGTTTTCCAGTGGTCTTAGGCTCTACAGCAGCGGGTCTCCACAGGTTGAGAACCCCTAGCAGGGTCGCCTAAGACCATCGGAAAACACAGATATTTACATCTAGATTCTAGATGGTCCAGGGGCGGACAGAGTTCATCTGTGAACCTCCCAGGAATTGTTTTTGAACGGTAACCACTGCTGTGTTTTCTGTCTCTACAGTTTTGCCTTCTCCTGAATGTCATGTCAATGGAGTTATACAATATGTAGCCTTTTCGAGCTAGGCTTCTTTCACTTAACGTAAATAATTTGAGATTCACCCATTTTGTTCCATTTATCAGTTTATTCCTGTTTATCACTGAGTAAATATTCCATTGTGTGGGTGTACCATAGCTTGTTCATCCATCCCCATGTAAGAACATTTTAGTTGTTTCCAGTTGGGGGATCATCAGCCAAGCCACCGTAAACACTCACGCATGGTCTTTTGTGGGAACATATGTTTTCATTTCTCTTGGGAAAATGATACTTAGGAGGAGTACTGCTGGGTCATATGATAAGTATATGTTATTGAAGAAACTGCCAAAATGTTTTCCAAAGAGACTGCGCCATTTTACATTCCTGCCAGCACCTTTCCGGTGCCTCTGCGTCTTTGCCAGCACTTAGCATGCCAGGTCTCTTTATTCCAACCATTTTAACACGTGGGCAATGGTCTGTTGTGCCTAGAACTTGGAATTCTCTTGAACAGTCTTTCATATGCGTATTTGTCACCTGGATGGTTTCTCACTGGTCTATCTAAAAGACCTAGGAAGTTTTAGTAAATTCCTTGGGATTTTCTATGTGGACAATCATGTCATTTGCAAATAGGGACTATTTTGGTTCTTCCTAACTGCTATGCTTTCTCTCTCTCTCTCTCTCTCTCTCTCTCTCTCTCTCTCTCTCTCTCTCTCTCTCTCTCTCTCTCTCTCTCTCTCTCTCTCTTATTGCACTTGGTGGGTCCTCGGGTGTGAACTCAACCAGGAATGGTGAGAGCAGATGTCCTTATACCCATCTTAGGAGGAAAGCACTCAGTCTTGCCCCACTAGGTACGATGCTAGAGTTCTTTGTCGCTGCTGCGGCAGGCAGCCTGAGGTGGCCCTCAATGACCCTGCTTCTTGATATTCATGTCCTTGCTGCTCCTCTTCCTTTCAGTATAGACTTGACCTAGTGACTTGCTTCTAAGGAACGGAATGTGTGAAAAGCAGTGTAACATCACTCTGGGGTTAGGTTACGAAGAGACTACGCGTTCCCCCCGGGTGTTCCCTTGGGCTCTCATTTACTTGCTCTGAGGGAACAGAGGCTATGTGGTGAGCTGTCTTATGGCAAGGAACCGAGGGAGCCAACAGCCAAGAACTAGGCTGATGTTCTGTGAGGAAAGGAGCTTTATCAACAACCAGGTGAGTGAGCGTGGAAGCAGATCTCCCCCCTGCCCCAAACCACCTTCCAATGAGATTTCAGATAGACTTCGCCCCGCTGACAAACGTAAGTTCAGTCTCATAGGAGGCCTGGAGCCAGAGGCACCTCCAGAAACGGTGAGAGAATAAATGTTTGATATTTATGCTTTGGGGGTATTTGTTATGCAGCAAATAGAACTAATCCAGAGGCCCTTTATTAGATTGGGGAATTTCTCTTTAATTCCAATTTGCTGAGTTTTTTTTTTTTTTAATGATGAATTGATGTTGAGTTTTGTCAAATGCGTTTCTACATCTATTGAGATGATTGTATGATTTTTTTTTTTTCTTTATATTATACTAGAGGCCTGGTGCATGGATTTGTGCCCTGGTGGGGTCTGGCTGGCCTACCCAGATTGAGGCCGATCAGGCCAGGCTGACTGGGGGAAGGGGTTGTGGGTGGTTGGCTGGCCAATTGGGGGCAGGGCTGGCAGCCAACTGCCCACAGCCCTTCTCCCCTGCTGGCCCCTCCCCTTAGTCCAATTCCTGGTTGAATTCCCAGTAGAGGGAACAATTTGCATATTAGCCTTTTATTATATAGGACTAGAGGCCCAGTGGATGAAATTTGTATATGCAAGGGGGGTGGGCCCTCAGCTCAGCCTGCACCTTCTCTAATCCAGGACCCCTTGAGGCATGTCCAAATATCCAAATGTTTAGGGGATTGAGCCTAAACCAGCAGTCAGACATTCCTCTCACAATCTTGGACTGCTGGCTGTTAATACTCACCTGCCTACCTGCCTGGTTGTCCCCAACTTCCCCCTCCCTTCCAGCCTGGTCATCCCTATTGCCCACTGTGCCAGCCTGGTTGTCGCAACTGCCCCCTCACCAGCCTAGTTGCCCTTCACTGTCTCCCCCCCCCCCCCAGCCTAATCACCTAAACTTTTTCCCCCTGCTGGCCTGGTTGCCCCCAACTGCCCCCTGCTGCTGGTCATCCCTCAACCCCCCCCCCCCCCCCGTGCTGGCCTGGTTACCCCATGCAGCCTGCTTATTTGTCCTTCACTAACCCCCTGGTCGGCCTGGTCATAGGCACCCATCTTGTGAGGGTGTGAGGGTTATTGCATATTACCTCTTTATTATATAGAAAGATGATTTTCCTTAGTCTGTTGATATAGTGAATTATATTGATTGATTTATATGTATATATTTTAAAATACGTCTTTATTGCTTTCAGAGAGAGGAATGGAGATAGAGACAGGGATAGAAACATCAATGATGAGAGAGAATCACTGACAGGTGCATTCTGCACCCCTCTCCTGGGGTCAAGCCTGCAACTCAGGCATATGCCCTGTTGAGGAATCAAACCGTGATGACCTGGTTCATGG